CCCTGTTCCAAATACAGTACTGATCTAGTAGCTGAATTTTACTTCTGCATTTGTGATGGGGAACCATCCTCACTATACCTATGGGCAAATAAGGGAGCAAGGGTTTCCTGGTATGTTTCTTAACTGTTCTGTCTCTATTTTCTCCCATAGACCAATATTCTCAGGGTTGACTCCGATTCTTCCTGCTTGCCTCTTCCTCTCTCTTAGCCATGCAGCCAGCAGTGGTAGAAATCATGTTCCTTTCCTCTCTCTTAGTTCATACTGACCCAGCCCTGTCTCTGTTCTCCCAATGAACCTTTCTTCTGGTGTCCTCATGCCTGCAAGCATGGTGCAAATGCTATTGTGGTGAAACTGATTTTAAATCCATTCCACAGATGCAATGGCACTTGCAATACCTGCTGTGATTGCAAGAAAAATGGCTACCTTTATAGCCATGAGCGAGTGTGGGGAGTCATTACCCAGAGGAACTTCGGTAGCCATGATGTCTTAATTAAGCAGTGTTGAACCATCTCCAAGGTATCTGCAGAGAAACATCATGCAGGTGAAAGTGAATTGTAGTAAGAAGCCTTTTTTGTGATGGTGAAGACTGCTGTTGGAAAAAAAATAAGTCACAAGCTCAACTGGACACATGCTGTTAGTCATGTGGTTCTCCGGCTTGCAGCCTACTATCAATTACTAAGGTTCTAGTAGCTACAATAATACCCAGAGCTTGGAAATCTTACTCTTTTTTTAACTAGAGTTCCCATGCTCATGGCCATGCTGGCTCCTAGAGATTCTGGGAGGTGTAGTCTGAAAAGTAATATTGCCAAGTTTTGGCAATACTATAACCTTTATATTGGAATTCGGTCTGTATTATGTAGCACTGCACGCCCATACATGCACATGTGCATGATCACACACAAACATTCAGATTCTGAAAATTCAGACAAGGAAACCCTTGCTCTGGAGATTTCTGTTGACCAGTCACAAAATACATATTAAATTCTCTGTTTTCCTTCTCACATGCAACATGTCTTCTCTACATACTGGCCTTCAGCAAGTCTCTTCTCTCTTCTTTCTTGATATATTGCTTTTTTGCTATACTTTTAGCTCTTAATTTAGGAGTACAATATGCAATTTTAAGACCTTGCCCTGGGAATAGTTTGCAGATTTCTTAGCTTTAATTAAAATACTGCTTTAAAGTGAGTCTTCATTGGTATTTAGTTTTTATGTTCATGATATTGATCCAGAGATAGAACAACAATTTTTTCTTCTGTTTCACTCTGTGGGTACAAAGTCTCAATCGTATTATGAGAAGAGATGGGGGCTTCGTATTGATATATAAATACAGGAAGGGGGCGGGAGGATGAATCTCCCTGCTCAGCCATGGAGTGGATGAGTGAGTAGGGAGGCAGGGCTGCAGAAGCCGAGTTACTGCCGTGATTTGGGTGCTGAAGATGACACTGGTCATGTGCGCCATGCACCATGTGGTAAGTAGTCTGGCGGGTTCTGGGGTGGGTTTCAATCAGGCCAGCCACCTTTACCTGTGAGGTTTGTATTCAAATATGAATAAAAAGCCCCCATCTCTAATTATGAGTTAATGACACAGCATGGCTATCTTTTCCCAAAGCTGGGCTTCAAAGAATGCTGACTGGAGTCATCAGCTACTGTGGAAAGGAGAAGCAGAGGTTTAATCATGATGAAATAAAAACTGTGGTCCTTAGTAATACTAAAGCAAGCAGAGGTGGACAACTAATGCCCAGCAATTAGAACAATGCCTCTTCTTCAAATATTTGGATAGCTCATGCCAAAGATCTTTGTTCTGTAAAGCACATCTGAATGCAGTTCATAGAGCTACCCAATGCACTGTACAGGTAAGTTACACATTCTTCTTTTCTAAGAGTAGTCAACTGCTCTTAAAATATTCCCACAGCTCCTATCTGGGGCCAGAATGAGAAGGTGCTTGCCCAGCATGAAACTGTCCAAAGTAACTTCCCAAAGGAGAAAATTCTGGCTCTTCCTCAGGATCTACCTCTGTTGTGTATCTAAGAATGAAGGCAGAGCTGCCTTCAGTTTCTGTAAGAATACATCTGACACATGCTGAAACACTTTAACAAGCTTGGGAGGTTCATCAGTAAAATCCTGCTATTGCTACTAATGGGAGGGGAACCAGTGGACAAGCAAGTCATCCCATATTTTACAAACGGGTTCTTTGACTTCAGTGGAAGACATTCAAGTCCTGGGACAGGAAAACAATCTCAGGCTGCTTTCTCAAACAGAATGTCAACTGAGATGCCAGTTTGATTCAGCATCAAAATTCTCAGTGTGGTGCTAACAGTTTGGGGAGGGAATTCCTTCACGGTACCTAGGCAATCTTATTTTTACACTTTTATGGGAAGCATTTACTAACTTACGTTTTCAAGCCATGCCACTGATGCTCTTTAAGGGCAAATTGACAATGCTCTTATAGAACAGTTCTCTGCTGTGTGACCCGGGATGAGTGGAAGACCTCAAGTATTACGTCCTACACATGAAATGATTAAAAGGAGGACAGTAGGATGAATTATTGATAACCTCATGGGTTCTAAAGTGGAATGTACTAGTTACTTGCTGGCACTGCAATCCCTTAAAACAGCTACCATGTGGCTATTTTAACTTTGTTATCTTTTAAAATTAGGAAGAGTCATTTATCCGTTAAACCTGCTGAACATCTAGCCAAAGTATGTGGGGGGTTTTTAGACATAGATATAACATCTGACCATTTCCATGAGAGTCCCGCCAACCTAGCAATTCGAAAGCATGCAAATGCAAGTAGATAAATAGGGACCATCTCGGTGGGAAGGTAACAGCGTTCTGTGTCTAAATCGCACTGGCCATGTGACCACGGAAGATTGTCTTCAGACAAAACGCTGGCTCTATGGCTTGGAAACGGGGATGAGCACCGCCCCCTAGAGTCGAACATGACTGGAGAAAAATTGTCAAGGGGAACCTTTACCTTTACTATAATATCTGACCACTTCCATGAGAGTCGCTACTATTAGATTTCTTATTTCCTAGCTATTTGTATTAAATTTATTGATTTTTCTTTTAGTTTGGCTATAAAACAGCCCCCTAGCCACCTGGAGACACAAAAAATCCAGAGAAACTTCCTCTGACTCTTTTCTACAATCCATCCAAGTTTGGGGAAGATTGGGTTTCCTCACATCAGCTGCTAAAGGGCACTTTCCTTGGGAACCCACTTTGTAGGTATATAACTTGGATTTCTGAAATCCAATCTTCACCGAATGTGGCAGGATTGTAGAGAAGAGTAAGTTTCTCTGTGATTTTGGTGTCTCTAGGGGGGAAACTTTCCGGGGAGGGGCTCCTTGTGAATGTATAACTAGGACATCTGAAACCAAACTTCACCAAACTTGTGGGGCTTGTAGAGGAGAGTCAGGGGAAGCTTCCCTGTGAATTAGGTGTGTCTAGGTGCTTGAGGGGACATTTTATACGTATTTTAAGTTTAAAAAAAGAATTGATTGATTGATTTGTGAAAAAATCATAAATTTGTATTTTGCGATTTGGCAAGCTTAACAAATCACAAATCAAAATGAATCACCATTTTTCTGATTCATGTCCACCGCTACTTAAAATGCTTATATAAAATGATAAACACAACTGCCTGTTCTTCATTGAGTTCATATCTCATTTTGTGCTTAGGATAACTATCAATATTTTTTTCTTTAGTAGAAGGTCAGGAACTTTCTAGAAGGCCACAGAACTCACAGGACAAATTAGCAATTTTGGTGACTGCCATTTTAAAATTCATGCCCATCTGTAATTTTCAGCACAGATAATCAATTTGTAAATGAGAAGATAGAAATTCAAGCTGGTTTTGTATTTATGACAGTGTGAATGGGAAAGTGCAACTTTATACCATGAAGAGAGGACATATCATTTAAATTGGGAGTTTAAAAAGCAAATTCTCCCTGCTTTGGTAATGAAGAGTGAGTCCTTTGGAATACACTGACTTTATGTTTCCATTGCAGTTAGGAGATACAAATATTTATTGTATTTATAGAATATAGACATAGCTCCTCAGAACACTGTAACAACTATACAGTTTGACTGTTGCTGATGATGGGATGGGCTGCCAAGTCAGATGCAACTTAGGCCACCTCTAATGGTGTTTTAAAAGTGAGATATTCAAGGAGTAGTTTGTCATTGGCATCTACTAGTGTGTTTCCATGACTAAATAGACATTTGAACCCAAGTCTCCTGAATCCTAGTCAGACACTTTGCCCCCAACACTACAACATCTTTCACAACATCTAGTATCAACTACCAAATTACATGTTGAAAAGCCAATACTAAGTTAGATATATAAAGCTTGAGAATATTATTTTTCAACCACTATTCCTGGAATCCCTGACTGACAACAGCTGCAGACGTATTGGCTAGGGGATTTGGAGAATGATAGTGCTTTAGGAGGTCATAGATTTATAGTGTCTTCATAAATCTGAAGCAATTTAGTGACAAGTAACAACGTATCAGTCCACAACTAACTTTTCCAAGCTTAGTGTAACATCCTGTTTCCCACATGGAGGTCCTTCTAAGAAGCCTACAAGCCTCTCACATTGATCCCTGGGACCTAATATTGTAGACATTCATTAGGCTGTAATATGCAGAAACTTGTGGCAGTGGCATGCACACCATAACTTTACTACAGATCATCACAGACAGACAGGGGAATGATTGTGGCAGTCGAGGAAGTTCCACAAGAGATCATGTGACCCAGCAATGACAATGGCTTATCCTGTATCCAGCTCATATTTCCCAGAGGCCTTTAAAAAGATCATGCCCAAAGCCTTGTTTCAGAAGGAAATAGTTTATATAGACCAAACCTGGCTATGGCCCAACAAGCAAGTTAAGTACTTGGATTTAAATCTATTTAGTTTCATTGAAGCCAGCACTCAGTCAGTCAAGCACTTTGTGTTAATCATCCAGTGTACAGACTGGTCATTGCCTATGATGCTACTTACAATAATCTGATATTTTTCCCAATCCACAGGCCCTCCTGTCTCCATACAGGCTATTAACCATGTGATGTCAAGGATCCTGAATTTTGAGCCATCCACCCCTTGATGTATTTTCAGCCATTTCAAGATTTCAGGGTTTGAATTATTCTCAGCCACAATGTGGGTGACAGAATCACTGCAAAAAACAAACATAAAGGCATAATTTGTAATGGTAAGCTGGAGGTTTGCAATTCACAAAATAGAAATGGAAGATAGTTTGATATCATCATACTCTTCAAGACATTTTCAAATTGCTTCAGCTGTTTCACCTGACATTTCAACTCAGTACCAACTAACATCCTTAAAATTCATATTCTTTCATTCCTACATATAAAACACCCGACTTTCTCCCATAATATTGTAATAAAGAGCCTCTGTAATATTACCTGACAGCCTTGAGAGTAAATAGTGGTTTGTTTCAATGATTGAGAGCTTCATAATAAGTCAGGAATCTGTAAAATTAAGCTCTTTAAAGCAATGCCACTGTTAATATTTTCCATCAAACCTTCTATATTCAGCAGTAAGCACTTTGCAGATAGCAATGGAAAGGAAAAGATCATGTGAATAAAATCCTCTAAATTACTCATTGTTTTTTCTAGAACCACATCCTTGATTTGCTATGTATGTCCATGTTTTTTGTAACATTGATATCCTGGTTATGAGCCCCATAAAACTGATTGGGCCATATAAGTCTTTTCCCCAAGCTGTTTTTAAATTCCTGTGCAAATGGGAAAACACAGATAACCTTACAAGAAACACTTATCTGCCATACAGGAATCACACTGCTAAGCCACAATGTGCAGGATGAGGGTAAGATTTCCTAAATCAACTTTTGCTGTATTAACACAAGCAATGTTCCCATTGCAGCTCAGCCCCATACAAAGCCTAGCATGGGGCCGAAGAACTTGCAGTTTAGATGCTGTTGGACTCCACTACCCATTAGACCTGACCATAGTGGCCCATGTCCTGGATGATAGGCATAAAGAATCCAACTACAGCTGGTGGGCTAGAGGTTCCCCAGCCTTGATCTAGTAAATGTTGAGGTACATTGTTCTAAAAAGTAGATCAAGTAGGAAGTCTCTTTGCTAACTTCAGCTGGCAAGTTAGTACATATTTGTGTCAGCCTTCATGGCACATTGACAAAATTGAGGCCTTCAAACCAACATTAGTCTTTCGTTTAATAGTAATGCACTGCTTAAGGGAGGAGGTTGGATAAAAACACTAGATAAACTTTAATCTACCTCTGGGGACCCATTGGTATTGTCTCTGTTCACCTCACCTCTAATCCACCAGACTCACAGGGTACATCCACCACTGCTATTGCTCTTGAATAGTTTTTCATAAAACACCACAGCATAGCTCAATTAGATTTACTTCTAGGTAAGTGTATAAGGAATTTGCTAAACAGCATTTTCCCATTATCAACACACTGCTAGGTTGCCCTCTAATTAAACCGCTGTGTTCTGCCTGGTACTCACTTTCAGAAAAAAAAAATTCAGTTAGAGATGTTTAACTTCTGCTTCCTGTGGTTTATATCCCTTTATATAATATGTGCATATTTAATGTATTTATATAAAGCTGAAGATCTGGGAACTTTGCCATTTCTACACTCTCAAGAGCAGTTCAGCCAGTGCTGCCCCAGTTTCCTCTGATACTTTTACAGCTGCATCATATCCTTGGCAGAATATGTAAGAAATGTAGGATTTCTACAGATATTGTTGACAATTTTTAAAACAAAAAAAAATCAGCCGTTAAATTATCTTGAATGAAATGAGTTCAAAACAGATGCTGGAAAGCAAATTTAATGTATTCCACTCTCTCACAAAATATCTCGAACATGTTGGCAAAATATCTCCCCATATTTACTCTGTTCCAATCTATCACTCTGTTATCACAGGACGAGAGGAGAGAGAGAGAGATTGCATAGATTAATACTTCAGGGAGTCTTTCTGTCTGTCTCTCTACTGAATTGCTTCAGAACTAGTATGTATTCTATTCAGATTCCAGTCACTTTATTTTATTAAGTTGCCATTGTTCTGGTGTGGTTGGATTGGTTTGTAGAATTTGATTTTGCCCTTTAGATGTCGGCAGACACGAAGGTCATATTACTAACAAATATTGGCTGAAACCCTGTTGCGTAGCTCCATCGGCACAACACGAAGCTCCAGCAAAATTCACAGAAAGCGCAGCTGGGCAGAAGCGCTGTTCACAAAGCATTTCCACATGCGTGGCCTTTGATGGGTGAAATGGGAGTCACGTTGTCAACCAAACAATCTGACTGCATGATCCAGGCAGTATAGGCATAATGCTTTGTACACTTAGATTAATACAACTTTGTATTATGCAAAGAAAAACAGGACTTCAGCTATCAGTGAATATTGTGAACATTCATCAAGAGCTCTTTACATTCATAATTTTCATACGTATATTTGTTGAAAATTTTATGAACTGAAAAACATTATCAGTTCTACACAGATACAGTAAATAGATACAAAGAATCAGTGGACAACTCACAGCCTATGAGAAGTGTGTGCTGCTTATATATCTCCTCAAAATTCTTAAAGCTCTCTCTGGACAGTTTACAATTTAAATACAGTGGTGCCTCGCTTAACGGTGATAATCTGTTCCAGGAAAATCGCCGTTAAGCGAAAAACATCATAAAGCGAATATAAAAAGCCCATTGAAACACATTGAAAACCTTTCAATGTGTTCCAATGGGCTTAAAACTCACTGTCCAGTGAAGATCCTCCACATGGCGGCCATTTTCACTGCCCGTATAGTGAGGAATCCATCCCTAAACACAGTGGGGAGCCATTTAATTTACCCGGCGGCCATTTTGAAACCGCCAATCAGCTGTTGAAAAATCATCATTTTGTGAAGAATCGGTTCCCGAAGCAGGGAACTGATCATCACAAAGCGAAATCCCCCCATTTAGACCATTGTTTTGCAATCATGGCGGCCATTTTCACTGCCCGTATAGTGAGGAATCCATCCCTAAACACAGTGGGGAGCCATTTAATTTACCCGGCGGCCATTTTGAAACCGCCAATCAGCTGTTGAAAAATCATCATTTTGTGAAGAATCGGTTCCCGAAGCAGGGAACTGATCATCACAAAGCGAAATCCCCCCATTTAGACCATTGTTTTGCAATTGCAATTGCGATTGCAAAAAGATCGTCGTAAAGCGGATTCATCGTAATGTGGGGCAATCGTAAAGCGAGGCACCACTATATACAATTTAAAGACACACATTGCCCCCTAGCTGGCTGGGTACTCAGTTTAGTGACTTTGGAATGATGGAATCTGAGTCAACCTCGAGCCAGCTACCTGAACCCAGGATCAAGCTCAGGTTGTGAATAGAGCCTTTACTGAAATACTGCAGTTTAACCACTGCACCACAAGGTTTTTTGAGTGGTTCTCCCTCCCAAATTTGGCAGCCTACAATTTTCTGGTTCTGTTAATGCGACTTAATGGCTTGCCTTTGAAATGTAGTGATGCGTTTTGCTGCCAAATTTTAGCAGCACAGCAGCACTGTTTATTGTTGTGGGTTGTGTAGATGGGGAATGGCCCTTGGACCCGTTGGAAAGTTGGCCACCCCCAGCATATACAAACGCAGAGCATTAGGCTGTATGGCAGACATTTGGAAAGTGGAGAGAAAGACATTGTGTCCTTTGAGATTCATTCTATTCAATACTAATAGAGTAACCTTGCTATGAAAGAAAGGTTGTGTGTTAAGAAAGAATATGGAACTTAGGATGAATTTTACTAAAATTGGCCTGTAACTCTGATGATACTAATGTCTGTCTCCAGAACCACAATACTCTCAGCACGTCCATCTGGTCCAGTCCATATTACATAAGTCACTTGGGGAAGAACATGTGGCCTACAGCCAGATGTGGCCTCCCCACCATTTTTAAGGGGCCCTCTCTCCTCACCTTCAAATGTGGTGCTGCTTCACCACTAGTTTTCAGCAGCACATCTGAAAATGAAGCATTTATTCCTCCTGAAAATAAAGCATGTTGGGAGAAGTATATACCTTGATTTATTTATTATGAGAAATTTTATGCCCCTTTTAATTTTTAAACAATTCCAAACAGTTTAAAAATTACTGTGCTAAAAATATCTTCAGACAATACAATAATATCAAAAGAAGAAGAAAAAATGCAACAGAGATAAAATGATAACTATTTCATTAAAATCACTAAAATTTCTGGGTAACTGGTCACCCTGCTGATCAGAAAATGCTTAGAAAAACACATAAGTTTTCATTAGGGAATGTGGCCTAATCTCAATAGAGTAATCATCTCACATAATGGCCCTGATTGTATAGAACACCCTTCTCCATACCCCAGAGTTCACTAGGTTGTGGTACAACAAGCACGGCATCTCCCTACAAAGCACAGAGACTTGGCAATCAAGCTGGCAGGAAGTCTCAGTGAGTTGGAGCAACTGCCTGAGACTTCTTGCCAGCTTGATTGCCAAGTCTCTGTGGAACAAGGGTCAGGAGTTGAATTCTCTACTGCACCACTCTGGAGAAAGATCAAGCCTGTGTGGACTTGGGCAAGCCACACAATCCCTCAGCGCCCATGGAAAAAGGGAACAGTAAGCTCCATCTATGTACTTTATAACCAAGAAACCCTGGCAAATGTTGCCACAAGTCAGAAGTAACTTCATGGTGCACAATTAGTGTTAATACTATTAGTAGTACAGGCAAATATAGTCTGGCAGAATAAAGCTGGCCCTGAGCTTTTCAGGACCTTACAAAATAACAAACTAGACCTAGTCTGGAGGAGAAACTTTTCAGCAAAGGGGTTCCATGTGCCTTAGAGGAAAACCCCACTAAGAAGTGAAGCTATCATATTCTGCAACTAGTGCAGTCTAACTGCACCGACATGCTCAGGTCCAAGAGTGGTGTGACCTAAAGTGCACTAACCTAGTCCATCCTTAAAGCTGTCAATACATGAATTACTACACATAGACTGCACAGTTGTGCTCATATTGTTATTGTGGTCATACAAGTCAAAGCTGGCATTCTGTTTGCCATTTAAACTGCTTGAATCTCCAGCAACAGAGATGAATCCAAAAGCATTCCTGGGCTACATGCTTGTCCCTAGAGAGGAGGTGCAGACTCAGCCAG